AAAAAAAAAAAAAAAAAAAAAAGTGTACTCAATTGTTGTTTTTTTAGTACTTTTTGGTGGTTTGATTGCATATTTTGAGTGGCTTATTTTTATATCAATCTTGCAGCAATTAACCCTCCAACATCCTGCTGTACGCAGTAAATTGGGATTGCCTTTCAAGGATGCTCCTGTGGGCACTGCAACTCTCAGAGAAACCAATGATCCAGGCAAACTACCGTTGGATACGCCCACTAAGTGGAAAAAAATTTATGTAGAGAAGCTGTCTCCTAAGGAATTGCTTGCTGTAAATTATGCTGAGCTCAGTTTTCTTTTTGTGTTGGTTCAAGTTAGTGTAATACAAACGTTTTCAGGTAGCTAATGATTAACATTGACAGCTTTCCGTTCAACTCCTATCAAAAGGGCAAAAAGAAAAGGCTATTCCTTTACTGCGGTAAGCTTGCTAGTCTTCTCTCTTTAGATTTCACTATCATGTAGATCTTCTATATGGGCCACTCTGGTGGGTATTTTGGTCTAAATTGCAGTTGAAAAAAAGGCCACACATGACTCGTTTAATATTTTAGACAGGCACTTAACAAGGATCCTGAGTATGTTCGAGCTTTGATTGTCATGGGACAAACTCTGTTACAAAATGGGCAACCTGCAGAGGCTATTGCATTCTTAGAGCGTGCAATTTCCAAGGTCTGAGTTTAAGTGTTGGATTTCCTTTTTCCTATTAGTGTGATTTTCTTGCTCGTGATAACAATGGTATGATGTGTTGACAATTATTTGAGTTTCTGATAACAATACATGGTCATTTTTAGAATTGAGTACAGTCGCCCTTTTCATTAAATTGGTAAAGATTTAAAATCTAATTTAAGAAGAAAGCCAATGAACAAGACATGAAAGACCCCGGTAGTAACCAATTAGCAAGAAAAGAAAGGTAAGGGCATTTTGCACAAGGAATGGAAAATAAACGGGAGAAATTATGTGCATGAGGAAACTAATTAAAAAAACAAGAAAAAGGGATCTTGGGCCAAGTGAGCTTTTCAGTAATCCCCCTCCTGATTGAATGTAGCTTGATCATGTAATTCTTGAAATGTTTTTTTTTTAATACATCCTTGGTAATGAGATCTTCATTTTGTTTCTATCCTACTCATTCTCTTTGTTGATATCATGAGTAATTTAGTGACAGCAAGAGTAGATAAGGGTTTAGTCGGGGATTCTAAGATAGGATCTGAGAGGACCTCATCTTTCATATCTTTAGTCTGTTGAACCATCTTTTTTTTTTTTCTTGGGGAGGAGAGTTCATATACTAATCTTGATAGTTCCTTTTCCCTTCTTTGGAACTATCTCTAGTCTTAAGATAAACGGAGGGAAAAGTCTCATCATTGTCTTAAAGTATTCACACTCTAATTGGACTATTGGGTGACTTTGGTGGGTTGTGAAGATACCTAACTACTCTTTCCATATCTGGGGCTTCCCTTGGGTGGTAATTCGAGGAGTGTGTCTTTCTGCAACCCTAGAGCAAATCCAAAGAATCCTCTTGTCTTGGGGAAAGGCTTTCTTTCTATAGGAAGGAGACTTACCTTGATTCAATATAGTAAATTGGATCCCTATTTACTTTCTTTCCTCGTTTAGAATCAGTCTCTGTGTTACAAAGAAAGTTTAATGAAGAACTTCTTATGGGAAGGAATCGAGGAGGGTGGTGGATCTTACTTGGTAAGGTGGGAGGAAGTTTCAAAGCTGGTGGAGGGTGGAGATTTAGCCGTTAGTAACCTGAGATTATGGAACGCGGCTATATGAGAGAGAACTTATGGTCGCAGTCTTAGCAGTCCAAAAATGGAGACTTTACTTTCTGGGGCAAAAGCTTACAGTTTTATCTGATATAAGAGCTTCAAAATATTTGCTTGGGCAGCATGAAATTCAACCTCAATACCAGCGTTGGTTGACCAAACACCTTGGGTATGATTTTGAGATATTATATTAGTCTGGGTTACAAAATAGATTAGACGATGTGTTATCAAGAATGCATCAACTGATAGAGATAAAAGTGTTGGCTGTCCCTTCTTTTATGGATGTCAAATTGATCAAGAAAGAGGTCAAAGATAATAAGGAATTGCAGATAGTCATTCCCACGCTGGAGGAAGATCCCTTAGGCGTGCCGAAGTTTTCATTACAACAAGGGAGATTAGTCTAGGTTAGTCCTGTTGAAATCATCCTCGTTTATTCCCTCAATTCTGCATACTTTTCACGACTCTGTGCTAGAGGGACATTCTGAGTTTTTGAGAACTTGCAAGAAGTTGACGGGAGAACTGTTTTGCAAAGGAATGAAATCAGATGTCAAGTCCTATGTGAAGCAGTGCATTGTGTGACTGAGAAATAAGTCTGAAGCTCTATCTCTTGCCAGATTACTACAACCTCTGTCAACCCGGGTAGATTTTGGGAGGCCATCACTATGGATTTTGTCAAGGTTACTGAAATCCATGGGGAACGACACAATTTTGGAGGTGGTAGACTGACTGAATAAATATGGTCATGTCATCCCTGTCTGTCATCTTTTCTCTGCAAAAATAGGTTGCTGATGTGTTCATTCAAGAGGTGGTGAGATTACATGGTTTCCCTTGTTCTATTTTATCAGATTGTAACAAAATTTTCATGAGCCATTTTTTTGTAAGGAGTTGTTTGCCTTGCAAGGGACTCACCTCAAATGGAGCACAACTTTTCACCCTCAGATGGATGGCCAATCAGAGATAGTGAATAAGTGTTCGGAAATGTGCCTCAAGTGTTTTTGCATTGAGCAACCTGAGAAATGAGTATAGTTACCATGGGCTGAGAATTGGTACAACACCACTTTTCATGTGTCAATCAACACAACTCCGTTTCAGGTAGTTTATGGAAGACAACCACCACCACTAATTTCCTATGGGGATCGAAAGACATCAAGCAGTGCATTGGAACAACAATTGCTGGACCGGGATCTCACCCTTGCGGCGTTGAAAAAAACAATTAGCTATGCTAAAAGTTGGATGAAGAAATATGTAGATCGGAAACGAGGAGAATTGAAGTTTGCTGTGGGAGATGATGTTTTCTTAAAGCTTTGATCGTATAGGCATCGTTCCATGGCTAAGAAAGGGTGTGCGAGATGCTCCTAAATTTCTTGGCCCTATAAGATTGTTGAAAGGGTTGGAACTGTTGCATATAAGCTTGAATTACCACCTGAGGCTTCAATTCATAATGTTTTCAACATTTCTCAATTGAAGAAAGCTATTGGACTAGGGAACGTACTTCAACTTCACCCTCCTACTCTTGAAGACTTACAAGTGGACTGTGATGCCCAATGAAATCCTTTGTTGACGCTGGAATTATGAAATCCTTGGTTGATTGTGATGCCTTATAGTGAATAACTGTTTGTAGATAGCGAGTACGTGTTTGGAAACGTGCTTCAAGTGTTTTTGCATTGCACATGTTTCAATCGACACAACTCTGTTCAGGTAGTTTATGGAAGACAACCACAACCATTAATTTCCTATTGGGATTGGAAGACTTCAAACAATTCGTTGGAACGACATTTACTAGACTGGGATCTCGCCTTCGTGGTGTTGAAAGAACATTTAGCTTTGGCAAAAATCAGATGAAGAAATATGCATATTTGAAATGAAGAGAATTAAAGTTTGCTGTGAGCAATGACGTTTTCTTGAAGCTGAGACCGTATAGGCAGTGTTCCATGGCTGAGAAATGGGGCATTTTTTGACCCTATAAGATTGTTGAAAGGGTTGGAAGGGTGGCATATAGGCACGAATTACCACTTGAAGCTTTGATTCATAATGCATTCCACATTTCTCAGTTGAAAAAAGCTATTGGACCATGGAACATACTCCAACTTTACCCTCCCACACACTTACAAGTGGACTGTGATGTCTGATGAAATCCTTGGTTGACGCATTGAATTATGAAATAGAGCAGGAAGAATGGCTAGTGAAATGGGTTGACCAGCAAACCGTTGAGGTTACATGGGAATCAGTTAACTTTATGAAGACGCAATTCCCTACTTTTCACCTAAGGACAAGGTGATTTTTCGAAACCAGGTGTATCGTGAGACCCCCAATTCGGCTTACTTACTCAAGAAGGGGTAAAATGGGAGTGCACATGGGACCATTAGTTAGTGGAGCAGATGGTTGAGGGAGAGTACAACCTGTGGGGACTGAGAGGGGTTTTTTGTCGCGTTTTTTTTTATTTTAGGAGTGAGACTGAGTGCTTTTGAAGGAGAGGATTCCAGCTCTCTCGAATTGCTGGATAAGTCGTTATCGTGTTCTTCATGCTTTTATTTTCGTTCTATTTTCTTGTAGTCACTTGGATTTCTGCTAAGACTTCCATTATCCAATGTATAAGTATCATATTAGGGTTCGTTTCCCTGTGTTCTATTATAAGTCATATACCTTTACATATTTGTACCTTGGTGGTCTTCAGTTTCTACATCATTTATGGGTACAACTAATTGTTACTTCACCATGTTACAAAGTTTTCCCAAACAAATGAACAACATCTAGTGGTTGACCAGATTTTTGAGCTTTCCCAATCAGCATCTAAGTAGATTTTGGCATTTATTTTTGTTGCTTTCTTGAGTACAAGCCTTTTAATGGAGCTATTTTTAGGTATCCCAAAATCCTGAAAACACTCGGTACATTCAAATCTGTAGAATGATTGAGACAAAAAAGTTTCCATTAAAAATATTTAATATTGCGTTTTATCAGTAGGTACATTGTCTTTGCCCATATGTCCATCATATATGTTACTATTGTGTTGCATCATCTCTTACATCCCTAGACAAGAGGTTTAAACATAATTTACAATGTCTGATGCCCATTTTTTGTTCATCTCTTATTTCGCTAAAACAATACTCGTGTCTTATTCAGTTATTTCTTTCCGGTCATCCCACAGAAGCTGAGGGTGAAGATCTTCTAATTCTTGCATCCCAATGGGCCGGTGTTGCCAGTATAAGGCAGGTGAGAATTGTCCATGTTTTATTGATTTCCCCTATGCCTATTAACAAGGAGATCAAGATAGATTGAATCAAATCTGTTTATTAGGAACTTTATTGTAAACTCTTCAATTGCATGTTAGAGAGAATTTAAAGATGGCTTGGATGGACATTGTTACATAATGTGGTCAAAATTGAAATATCTGGAAAGGGAGTTATAAAACTGCCCCAAAAGCTGGACCTGTTGAACTGGTCTAATTTCCTTTTTATTTATTTCATTTTCAACTACTTGTGGCTGGGAGATTTCATTATTCTTTGTATAATTTGATTGCACCCCAGATATTTGAAGTGAAATCCATGGTTTCTTCCAGTTGATCTGGAAAATAACTAGCTAAATGAAGTTGACACTGTTGTGTTAGCCCTAGCAATTTGCCGTTTTCTCTCGATTAATTTGGCATGATATTCATGTTTGTTGTTTTTGAAGCTCACATTGTGAGTATCAATTTACGTTCTATAACTAAATTTCTCGTCATATTGTTGTGTCAGGGGAAAATGGTAGAAGGCATTGCTCACCTGGAAAGAATTGCAAATATGAAAGAGCCAGAAGAACCAAAGAGCAAAGCCCATTATTACGATGGATTGGTTCTGCTAGCAAGGTCTCAACCATACCAGTGATTAGAAAAGTTTCACATTCCCTTCCATCAACAAGAAATTTACTAATATCTTATTTCTTCTCGTTTCAGTGCTCTTTACAATGAAGGTCGTAAGGCTGAAGCTACCAAATACTTACAGTCAGCTGCAGCTTATAATCCTGCCTACAAGGAATACTTGGATCAATGCGAGGACGACAATGATAAATTAGTGGGCGATCTTGTCAGCAGCCGGAGAGGAGATTATTGATTCACTTCCCCTTTCGAAACATGACTGACTTTTCTTTGATGTTATTTATGAATAATCCAACAGAGCAAATCCAGGAGTTTCAACAGAGCAAATGTGTCCAAAATTGGACGAACCCTGAAGCTGATGGCAATGACATTATATCTCCCACATTCAATTGGTTAGGTAACTTCCCTATAGTTTACTGTTGAGTTAAATATTGTTTGGATGAATTTAAAAGAAAAAAGAAATGCTCATTTGTTTTAATAATATATTCTTATTGAAGTTACTTTTTACCCCAAAAAAGGTATATTCTTATTAAAGTCTTAGATGTGATGCAGATTACAGTTGTGAAATAAACTGAGATATGCTTTCAGCCTGAACTTTTGTGCTTCTTTATATGAAGTTTGACCGTCAGAAGGATGATGAGGGTGGATTTTGGTTTGTGAATTAGGTTTCTTAATTCAGTGTTTATCTATAATATTTGATCCATATTATATTTTGTTCCGAGGGTCGCCTGTATCTTTATTATTTACGGCACTAACTTTACTCAAATATATTACTACTATTTTCAAGCTTGTTCTATCCAATTCCATGCACACTACTAGATAATCACTCCAATTAGGTAATTGTCTTACAACACCACAGAGGCATATAAGTAGGTAATTATCGTACGTTCAATGTAATTCCATGCTAGGTAATTACTATGATTTTCATGCACATTGTTACATAATTTCTTTATGTTCACATGCATACAAAGTCGCATAATACTTGTGCATGTGTGCATGACATTACATCTAATTACAATTTGGATCATAGATCGTACATATCTAATAGTTAGAAAAACATTTAAAACGTGGTCATTTAATAGGAATTCGAGCTAATTGCTAAGCTAATTTTGATTAATCCTCCTTAATTGCACAAACATACTAGGAATTTGGTATTAGTACACATAAGTTAGTTGGACTGAGTCGTCTGGTGGGCTTCTCTGTGCTGGGATGGGTTTATGGCTAAAGTTGAGTTTGATGTGGGGTGGGCTAAAGGGAAACGTGGATGGGTTAGCTAGCTGGTGGCGTTTGGGTCTGTACTGAATGAATTCTAGATTAGGCTGCAAGCAGTTGGTGGGTTGGTCCAAAGCTGGAGTTGGCCTGTTGGATTATGGATCCATGTAATCCAACCTAACCTATGAGTATTTTACACTTTTAATAACTCTTTTGCCTAGACAAACTTATTTACTAACATCTTACTAACCCTTCTAGAGTGACACTATGACGATAAATTTTTGACATTTTATGTCGTCCTTTTATACCAAAACGACTAATTTGCGGACGACTCTGTTTCCTTATCAATTGTACGATAACATTGTTAGGATTATCGTAATTTAGATGAACACAAAAAATAGGAGAGAAAAAAGCAAAGAGGACTATTGGCTAAAGATTTATATCGATGACTTCTAGTATATATAAAAGCATTAGTCAAACGTATATATATAAATTTATCAGATATAACTATCTACTATATATAATTATTTACCGTATGCAATTTTGCCAAATATGCCCTCAAAGACCCTTGTTAAGTATTGAAAACTTATGGATCAAATTGGATGATTTTATATTATGTGTAACATTTCAAGACCTACTTGGTGAAAAGATGAGTTACTCGACTCGTTTACTACTCAATTTTGATTACACGAATATTTTCTTCTCCCCATTTCATCTTGGGTGGTTGATACTCGAGCGAACCATGCGGGTGAAATAGAAAAAGAAAAAGATAAAAAAGATGAAGAAGTAAAAAACAAACAGATAAAAGATAGAAAACGACACAATGGTGGAATCCAAACCAAAACAAACAGAGAAAGCAAAAAAATTCGGTAACGATGAATGTTCGATTATTACTCGTAAAACATTAATCTAAAAACTCAATAGTGGATTCAAAATGGTTGGTTTCAAAATATAAAGGAAAAAAGGAAACTAATTTTACAAAAAGAAAGATGAAAAAGAGCGATTATTTGTGTTCAATTGACCCAAAATGATGGTTTGAATTAATGCGAAGAGCACAATGCACAAATGACAATTATTTTTTCTTAAATCAAAAGGCTTTCATTGTTGCACTCTATCCATCTCCCTCTCTTCAGATTCAAATTTCAACCCAATTGCACCATCCGCCTCTTCCTCCCTTTCTTCCGTCTGGTATGATCGAACGTTTAGTTTTCGATTTCATTCATTTATTTTCTGTTCTTGTCATGCTTTCGATCCATTAAATCATGTTATTTCTACATCTTTTCCCCTGTTTTGTTTTTTTTTCCTGAATGCACAGTAGGCCTTTTCATTTTCATTTTCATTTTCGATTCAGAAATTCAAAATGGTCGCTAAAAGATGCTTCTGATCCGGATTGTAAAGCAGAGTAGTTCAATGAATCTGGTCTTTTCTTTCTGCTCCACGAACTAGCGAGATTGAATCTTTTGATTTTCTTAAACTTGTTTAATTCCCTTTGCGCTTTCTTCAAATCTGAGGACATAATTTGAGGCTAAACATTGAAAATAAGGGAACATAAAGTATAGGGAACAGCTTTAAGCCCTTTTCTATTTTTCATGTTAGAAATCGACTCCAACATTGGAAGTTCATAGCTCAAGTAGCAAGAAAACTAATTTCCCACAACCCCCACACCACACCACCCATAAGCGTAATTTCTCTCTTACTTTTGCTCCTTCCTCGTGAGATCCCATCGATTAGAGATTGGAGAGGGGAACAAGTGCCAGTCAAGACGCTGGACTCCGAAGAGGGTGAATTGTGAGATCCCACATCGATTGGAAGGGAAACAAAACCTTCTTTATAAGAGTGTGGAAACCTCTCCCGAGTAGACGCGTTTTAAAAACCTTGAGGGAAGCCCAAAAGCAAAAACTCAAAAAGGACAATATCTACAGCCGGTGGACTTAGTTGTTACACTCTTGTCTCCTTTTTGAACAGCCATAGGTCCTCGGTATAATATGCTTATTTTTGGTTCTCTTGTGTTGATATCTTAGACAAATTGTATGCTGCGCACATGTACACACCCAAAGAGGCTTGACGGTATGAGAATATGCAAATGAAAATTAAAAATAGGCTCTAAGAAATGGTAATCTTGTACAGTATAAGAAACCCTTGTTGTGTTTATATTTTCTGAAACATTGATGTTCTTAATTTCTTGATTTATCTTTGCATATGACTGAGTGTGTAATTGAATTTTTTTTTTTTTCTCATCTGTTCATGAATGATTTGACCAAAACAAAAAAACAATAGATTGAATGAAAGTTACATCTTGCTTTGACTATTTTAGGCTTTGAGTATCGTTTTGCCTTTCCCTATACTGAATTTCTTGCACATTGTATCTAATTGTGTTGTTGAATATAGTAGGGATTACATGCTACTGGGAAAGTTTAGTTGATTTGTGTTCAATCCCTACTTGTAGCATTGCTAAAATAAAAACAAAAACTTAATGCTTGTGAATAATGTAGTTTTCTCCTTCATTAGATTCTCCATATGGATCCAGAGGCTGCACGAACGGCTCGGGAATCGCTAGACCTTGCATTTCATATGTCTAATGTACTCGATGCCGGGATCGATCGCCACACCCTCTCTGTCCTTATTGCACTTTGTGACATGGGTGTGAATCCTGAAGCACTGGCTGCTGTTGTCAAGGAACTAAGCAGAGAACCGCCCTCATCGGAAACCATCACCTCGGGTAACAAGTCATAACCTATGTAAAGAAACAACTCTTTTCTTCTTCTGATGATGGTTGCTAAAGTTCATATCTATGTGTTTTTAAACCACGTAGCTTACTTGGATCTTGTGAGATGAGATGGGTTGATGTTCATAATGTGAAGTATTCACTCTCTTGTGTTCAGCCCTTTTGCCATATTTTGTTGCTTTACAGATTACATATTACCTGATTTTGTCAAAATAACAGAATCACACACATGAATGATGATCAATATTATAAAGATTGTTTAATATTGTTCACTAAATTATATTTTAATCAAATTAGGAATTTATGGGATTCTTCAATATGTTTTTATGTTATGTTCTCTTGATTTCTGTAATTGTTTCTCTGTTTCTTATCTTAGAATAGAGTTTAAAAGTTTCTCAGTGATATTATGTACCTGCTCTGCTCTTAGAACAAGAACCGAGATCAAACACACCACAGTTAAAACAAATAAAAAATCAATATAAGCTGGTACGGTTTAAGTTTATTATAAAGGAGGAATGAGTTCGGGATACTATCTCCTTCCCTGCCTCAACCATTAGTCAACGAACACTTGATAAAGAAACGTAGAATGAGGTGGGAATAAAAATATTTAGTAACTAGCCTACTTGTAGGCTCTCATCACATCCAATTCTTAGTAAATCTAAGCTTTTGGGGAGGCCTTAAAGTTTTTAGTGGTTCTCATACTTGTCACAGACCTTGTCGGGTCCTAAAAGTTGTTCACTAGGTTCTAGTGGTGTTTTTTGTTCTCATACTTAGTAAGGTTGCATTCCACAACAGTGAACGTATGATGTCCTTGGTTGAGGTGCAATCTTATCATATCTCATAGGACAGTATGGTGTCTCTGTCTAAACTCATTTAGAAGGTTTAACTAGTGCCCCTCCACTGGAATTGCTATACATTCAATGTTTTAGGGAGCGATCTCATGTACCTACAAGCTACTTAGTATATCCATGCTCATATAAACTAAGCCGCTCAATCATATGATATTAACTTCAAGAAAGATGTAAAAAATATTGTTCAAATTACCCTAAGATAGTCAAGTTACATTAAATGAAGTCAAATTTCATCAAAGTTGATCTCGGGTTGCAATTAATGACACATTAAGACGATCAAACTTTATTTATGCAACAAAAATTTCAAGATACTTAAATTACTAACTCAAAAGTTACATTTTAAGGTTGTATAAAGGCATATATATTGTTTCTATAAAATAGATTTGAAAAAAAAAATGTAGTTAAAGAGAGAATTTGTGTTTTTTTTTTTTTTTTTTTTTTTTTTTT